CGTAAGAATTCGCTGAAATTGAAGTATATGTGAAATGAAAGTGTTATTTACACGTGTGCAAAATTTCAACAGGTGTTTCATTACTTAATTGCGAACTATTCAGTTTTAAAGATTGTCGATTTAACAGTGCAGTATGTCTATAGCTTTAATCTTGGCAAAAAAACGCACACTTTCGAGCATAACTTAACGAATTTTAGCAGTATTTTCCCCAAAAAATCTTGTGTAATAAACAAATTTCTGAGGAAAAAAATGAGTACAAGTCTTATAGGTCTTTCCATATTTATTATTGAGTTACAATAATTTTAATAACACCTCATCTAGCCTCCGCCGAGAGAGAAGCAGATGCCCCAAGCAACTTGGCAACACTGCAACATCCTGTTACTTACTGAGTACAGAACAGTCAGACGACAGTCACGAAAAAGAGCCTAACTCAAATTTGCCTAAATAAACTTGCATTTATAAGTAAATAAATAAAATAATAAATACATGCTAATAAATAAATAAAAATATGGCAAAAAAAGCGTGTTGGTATTTTTTTTGTAAGGGTCATCGACTTCTATGATAAATCAATATGCATATACGATAGTTTTTGCTATATGTTTGAAAATTAAATAGTTTAATAGAACAGTATGCATATAATAAAATTATCAAAGTAATTTTGGTGAAATTCTTTAACTTTTAAAAGTTCAAGGAAGACATTAGTAGCAGCAATAATAGCAAAAAATTATTTTAAATAATTTGTTTAAGTATTGTATTTACGCTTCTATCATAGTTTGATAAGCTTTAGTGTTTTTAATTGCTACTTTTTTCTTCACAAATCTAAGATTTTTTTAATTTGTTACTTTATTCAGCATTTTTGTTGTCGCATACATAACCTGATTGTAAATGTGAACACAAGCAGAAAGTCTTTATACTTACCTCGCGGCACCTAACCCTAACGGCCAGAGTACATATATGTAGTAAGATCGGTGGCGATATGTTGCAGTGTCGCCACGTTTTTTATGTGTCTGCTCATGCAACGAAAAAAAGATTCTCAACTTACATCAATTTTGATTGAGGACCAATTAAGACTTAGTTCAGTGACTCAGCTGTAAGAAAAAAGCTCGAGGAAACCAGGCCACTGTAGACTTACCTTAAAAGTGACTGAAAGATGAACAAGAAAAAGGGCCGTTGACCTCAGTTTCGACTGCAAAAGTTGCAGCTTAATCATCATCATCACTACAAGTGCTCTCATCTTATATTACAACCATCAGTGTAGTCAACTTTGTAAGATCTTCTGACTGCGTGGGTGCAAGTAGTGACTAACCATCTATCTTAGAAATATATTGAGACATGATAAATTTAAACTTGTGGATATGTTGTCTATAATAACTTAAAAATGTATAACTTATATTATCTGTAGAACTTGATTATTTCTGACTTCACTTAATTCATTAAATTATTAGAAAAGACATAAGTTATTCAAGACGGAAGTTAATTAGTGATCAGTTAGATGCAAAAATTAAAAGATAACAACACCTACAGTATTTGTAATTCTCAGTTTAATATAGCAACGTCTTGCTGACTATTTTAGTCAGCCCATCAGGCTAAAAGACAATCCAATACAGCTTAATATGCACAACGATACGTTTAACAATACAATTCACCATACGCTAAAATTACCTTATAGGTATACAAGAGTTTATCAGTACTACGACTTATATGTCACTGGTCAAATGGTAGACTACGTTGTATCATGAGGCTTCACAGTGCTTATATAGTTTGTGCAACCAAGGTAGACAGACAAAAGCATTACTCTACTAAGCGAAGATATGATCTCAATCAAACTCATGGTTGTACGTAATTTGGTATGTATAATCGACAGAGTCAGGTTTTTTGTTCTTTCTGTGTTTGTTTGTGGGTATTTTAGTTGCTCTATTTATTTTACTGTCATGAGATCTCAAACAGTTTTTATAGTAAAATTTATGTACAACGTTGATCTTGTTGAGATTGTCCGTTTTAGTTTCCTTTCAATGAATGACGCTATTGAGCTGATTATTCAGAAGAGGGTATGTGTGAATGTTATAAGGTCTTAATACGGTAGGTGTTTTAATAAAATTTCTAGCAGTATATGGTATAGTGATTTTATATCAGAATTAATACTTAGGATAATCTTTTCATAGTTAGTGAGTTTTCGTTCATGAATTATGAAAAAAAAAAAATTGTTACTTATCGAAAGGTTTTTACCTTTACAAAATTTACATCCAGATATCTCTTATTGGCAAGTAAAATGGTTTGATCAGTCAAATTAAATACAATATTTTTTTTATAACTAATTAGATGATCTAAAATCAGTAAGAGATATCACAGTTATAATGTTGCAGAGGTTAAAAAAAGTTTTTCAGTAACAACTATTATTTGTAGTTTATCAACTATCATTGAAAATGTTAAAGTGAGATGAAAAAGAGACAAATTTATCAACCATATTAAGACCCTGAATGTTTATACTATATGCAAAACTCGTACACCATGTACCAGCAATTTCAATAACAGATTTTTGATTTAAAAATGTCATTGCATTTACACATAACATCTTATATATGATAAGCTTAACGGCGTCATTTGTTTGGAAAAAGATAAAATGGACAATCTGAAAGAGACCAACATAATTTTAAAACTTTACTGTTAAATTGTCTGGTGTCTTACATCGGTGAAACAAAGCAAGCAACTCAAATTCACACAAATAAGCACAGGCAAAACAAGAAACCTGATTCTGTCCCTGATGCATATCAAATTACATACAACTATGAGATTGATTTGGATAATGTGAGAATTTTCGATAAAGAAACTAACTAAACAAACAAACTTTTTCTGAAATGTCCGATACAAAGTAAGACAGTAAGAACATTAACGAAAGAGATAACGTACCACACTACCACAAGTCATACCTTCCATTATTACGACGGTTTAAATGTCCCAATTGTGGGTAATGCCCTCGTTTGTCGTCTACATTTGTCGCACAAACTATACAAGCACCGCAAAGTCTTATCATCTAATGCAGTTTATTGTTCGACTAGTGACAAATGAATCTTAATACTCGCGAGCTCTTGCATATCTGAGGTTATTTTGGCATGTTGTGAATTGTATTGCTAGACGTAACGTTGTAAATATGTAATCATAAGTCAATTTTTTTTGGCTTGACCATCTTACTAATAAATTCATTGAAAGGTACTAGAATAACTTATACTACTTCATAACTTACTTATCACTCAAATTTCTTTTCTCAATTCACATGTTTAGAAATTAAGAATTATAATTGACAAAAACAAACTTTTAACTGTAATTGGTCAACTTCCTTTAAAACAAAAATAAATAGACTGACGTATGTGAAAAGTCTTTACATGGACATGAGATAAGAAGACAAATTGTATTACGCAACTACTGCATTGCTTAAGCAAAAATTTATACAGTTAAACTTAACATCAGTTCAAGTATGACAGGCCAGAGTCACTTCATACATATTACTTGATAAGAAATAGCAACGCCAAATCAACGATTTGAAAGATGAACATACAATAAGTAAGAGCAAATAAGGCTATTGAGTTGATGGCTGGTTTCCGAAAAATCAAACCTAAATTTATATGTTTGTAGAATGGATATACAAGTTTCACTCTTTACTTACAAGTGCAGACGTAATAAATTGAATTTTGGAAAATCATGCCATTAACAAGACATAATATTTTTTGAATTTTAAGCACACACAAAAGTAAAATGTGATGGTGTCAACCTGAATATACACAATAATACATCTTACTATTATAATCCTAATAACACAAAAATTTCCGCTACTAAGTCTAATTTAGACAGAAAAATAGTACTACACACAGCACATCAATTTGTTTAACCACTTGAGTAGACGTCACAAAAAATATTAGCAATGCATAACAATAAGACTAAAATTTTTATAACTAAATAAAATAAAGACACCTTTATTATGGATACAAGAGCTAAAGTCCATGGCTTAAAGAGATCCTTAATAATATCAAATATTCGTATCGTTACGAATATAAAAATTAATATTATTCAATGAACCTTTGAAAACATTACAATGTTAGGAAGCAGTGACATTCAATAAACAAGATAGAAGTTCATTTTACACATGTGTTAACACAAAAAACACCATTTGGTAGGACAGAAGTATTGAAAGCAGAATTTCTAGCTGAAAAACAAGTCAAGCTTTGTTGTAATGGATTAGTAAAAATAAAAAGCTAACGCATTTTAGACGTACATTTAAAGATAAAAGTTTATGTACTCTTTATTCATGTATCTTTTATTTTATAGTATAATAGTTAAGCTGAGTTTTTAAAAATAAGAATTAATAAAGATTGTACAAATTTAAGAAACATAACATGAATTTTATATAAGATATTTCTAAATACATCCAGTGTCTAAGCTCAATTTTTTTCTGTGCCTTTCAAACTTTATGAAAATATTTTTATTTTATTACTACTACGACCACGACTACTTCTACTGATACTACTGCTACTACGACTACTGTAACTGCTACTACTGCTTTTACTACTACTGCTACACTACTACTAATACTATTCTACTACTACAAAAACTACTACTACTACTACTAGTACTACTACTACTTCTACTACTCCAACAACAACTACTACTACTACTACTACTACTTTTACTACTACAACTACTACTACTACTACTACTACTACTACTACTACTACTACTACTACTACTACTACTACTACTACTACTACTACTACTACTACTATCTACTACTCCAACAACAACTACTACTACTACTACTACTACTTTTACTACTACTACTACTACTACTACTACTACTACTACTACTACTACTACTACTACTACTACTACTACTACTACTACTACTACTACTACTACTACTACTACTATAACAACTATTACTATTACAACTCATACTACTATTTTTGTATAATCTTTAGTCTTAACTAAAATATGTCAAATGTTTGCAGTGACTTAAAGGAAATTGAGAAGGACTTAAATACACTTAAGGAATACTTAAATAGTTCATTTAATGCTAATGATTTTTACATCAATGATATTGTTACCATTGGAATGCAAATAATAGATGAATTGTCTCTACGTGATCATTTCAAATCGTTCCCTAACATTGTAAAAGAAATTTGGGAAGTGATGGGTGAGTCTGGAGATGCAGTTCGAAACTCTTTACTTTGGATAGTAGAAATAATAAAAAATGTACATAAAAATTTATCAGAATTGATAACGGAAATTCTAAAAGGTGACTTGATAAATCGAATTTCTAGTATTGTTGAAAGATTGATCATAAAATATGATATGCTAATAAAGGAGTTACATGTATCTTTAATAAAAAATATTGAATGGATGTACAGTAAAATATATCAATCACTATTACTACAGGTAAGGTTCAGAAAAATTACTTTCAAAACTATTTTTTTTTAACAGCTCACATAATTTGATTAACTAACGTATTTATGCATCCTTATACGAATCAGATGAGCTGGAATTTTTGAAATAATATAATTCCATGTTGTTAGCATGTATGCATGTTATTTGAATTGTATAAAGAGATTTTAAATTTATTATTAGTTGTGCTTATGCTACATTTATAGAAATCAAGTATATAATTTGTGCATGAAAATGTAAAAATTTTTAGTAAGCATAAAAATAATTAAATTTATAATATTTAAATGAGGTCTCACATTTATAACCCACATCTGTGTTCAAAAAACATGCATAGTACATAAATTCAATCGTTAGATAGTAGCAGCCCTCTAATAGAGGGCTATTAGATGGTTGATGCTTATCTTTTAAAGAAGAGATAAAACTTAGTAGAAGTTAAAAGTTTAATTAATATTTTATGCAGCAAGTAAGACTCCAGAAGTTAAGTGACTTTTAAAAACTAATGTTATTGAATGTTATTCAAAGTGACATGTATATCATAATTAAAAAACCAATAAAAGAACTGTTATATCGCAAAAAAAACTTTTAATAAAAAATTGGTTTTTTTCTCTTACTAATAAGAACTAGTTAGTTATTTACTAGGAATCAACGTAAAAAATAAGTTAATGTGAACAAGATGCCCCACGTTTTCAAGACTTCTGGCTAGCCAGGAGAATAATTTTATTGAAACAAAATAATTTGCGTCACATGGAGAAACAATAAGAAAATATAACTAATCTTAGCTTGGTTTGAACTCTTGGAGAGACGTAGTATTTTTCATCTATAAAGTGTAATGCTATGAAATCTTTTACGTTACAAAACTCGTCTGAATTTCTCATTGAAATGAAAAATTTCAAGCAGAAATTGTAAGACTTTTTTTAAATATCATTATTACTTCTTTTTTTTTTAATTGAAGAAACAGAAAGAACAATAAGAATATGACAAGCGTATTATTCAACATTTGCTGGTTGTTGAAGTTATTTCTTATTTTTACCAACCAAGGATACATCCCTGCCATAAAAGTACTTGCATAAAAAAAACTTCTCATAATTCAAGATCAATCTAAATGTTTCCTACTCATAAGGGGCTGTGACCCGGAATCTTGATCAAAAAATCTTTTTTTGTAAAAAACGCCCTCTTATCAGGACTCAACATCAGTAAAAGTTAAGTACACTGTCCGCAGTAAGATCTTTATTATACAGTATGTGTAAGAATTCTACTTTATTATGAAAACTTGCACCATAGTTTTAAAAGTAACACTTTAAACGACTAAGTTAACACTTTAACACATATTGATTAACAGTCAGCAAAGCTTATAGATTATTTGTCTTGTATGAATTTTAAATAGTTACTTACGAACATTTTTTTCGCAATGAATAATTAGATGTTTAAGTCATAGCTCTATTATTCTAAAAAGAGGACATTTCACTTGAAAATTTGAACACTGATATTAACATGAAAAATTAAACACAAGCCACTGTACAATTTATGTGGTAAAAAAATTAAAACCAATAAGTACCAGTTTAAAAATAAGCAATTAATCTTAGAACATGGTTTTTGAGTGCAAAACATTAAAGAGAATGAGCAGAAGCCCATGGACATCTATTCTTGTGCCACTTGCGTCACTAAATATAAACGAAAAGTAAATGAAAAAAAAAAACTAACATCAATCTTACTTTTTCGAAATCAATTATTATAGCAAATACAAAACCATGACTGAACTTATCCGTACTCATTCTATGTTCAAGTTAGAAAAAAAAGGTATATAAGATTGGATGTAATCGATATTATATGACTTTATTATTATCAGTACTGTTCTCATTCTTTTTTTAATTATTATTGATATAATAATAATGATTTGTATTTTGGTAAATATTCTAAAAATTATTTAAATTCACTTGTTATCATAGCAATCCTAAATGGTCTTATTATGATTATTATCATTATCACGATTAGTATACTATAACTATTACCTTTATTATAAAAATCGTTATTATTTTAATTATTGTGTTTATTAGCATCATAATTATTATCATAACCATTATCATCAATATTATTATTATCGTTATAAAAAAAGTTGAAATAACTCTCATGAATACTGTCTTTGATTTTGTTATTATTTTTAATTACTGATAAAACCATAATCATCACGTTTATAGAACTCATAACCAACTGCATAATGATTATTCTGACTATGATTATCATCATCTATATCATAGTCGTTGTCATCAGATAATGTCGGTATGGCAACGGTATTTTCATTAACAATATCAAATTTTTAACCATAGAAATTGCTACTATTATTGTGGTTATTATCATCATAAACGTTGCTATTAAGACTTACTACATAATATTAACATAATTTTAATCAGTATTTGGCAACAGTCAATAGAAGCTATAAAACTGTTCTCATAAATCTTAGTATTATCATTATTATAAGTGTCATACGTATTATCATTATACTAACAAATATAATTTTGATAACCATTATTATAATTATCGTTATTACTACAAATATTTTAATAAAATTCATAAAATCAATGTCATCGTTCACATCCACATCATAGTAATCTATGTCACAATTTTAATGTCTATCATTATCACTATTTGTATTGATTTTTATTCTTAGCGTTGTGAATATCGATGTTATAATTATCGCATTCGTTCTAATTATTATATGTACGACAACAATTATAAGCAACATCATTACTATTAGATATATCGGTAAATTACTATAATAACTATTAATAATGTAGTGACACATATAAAACCGATTATTACAATTAAAAGTATTAATCTTACTAGTATCATTATATTATAAGAAATAACATCGACAACATTTTTTCTGTTCCAAAAACCTCTCAAACCCCTGTTAGCTTAATATAAAAATTCTTTTTCCCTATTAGAAATTAACATTTAATCTAAACGTAAAGATTTATAGTATAGAAGTATAACAAAAATAACTTATACTTCCACAAAACCTTAAAGACCTATCTTCTATACAACCCCTTTGAAAAATCACTTTTTCAAATGAATTAAAGCAAAGGGAACATGGTGTTGATAATCAATATAGCCTACCCTTAATGCATTATCATCAGAGTAAAATCATTAACATTATCACCATTATTATTACATCATCATCATCAACATTATTATAATAATCAACGTCATCATCCTCATAATCATTATAATCTTTGTCATCATTTTCATAATTATCATCAACATTATTATTATAATAATTATTCTTACCATCATTATTGGTATTATCTATATTACCAATATTATCATCGATATTATTATTATCAGCAGCATCATGATCATGATCAACACTTTTAATTCATTATCATTGACATTTTGTATCATTCCAATTACCATTAATATTATCATTATATCTTCACTACTATCACTATCAATATTATTGTCATTGTCTTCATCATCATTTCCTTGATTATTATCTACATTACCACCATCAACATCATTATCATAACTATAACAACCACCAACATCAAAATAATAATAATAATCATCATCATCATCATCGTTATTATTATCATCATCATTTTAGTTGTTATTACAATCATCAACATCATCATCATAATCATTATCATCCTTTTTACTATCATTCTTATCATTATAATTTATATCACCATTACTTTTAACATTCTTATCATTATCATTTTCGTTTATTATCATCGTCGTTACTATCATTGTTATTGTAAGCATAAGCATCATGATTTATATTAACATTAATATTCTATTAACAGACTTTAGTGTTATTGTTATTATTATCATTACTGATACTATTATTATTAGTATTATCGTCATTATTACTACTGTTCTCTTTATCACTATAAGGATTTTTATTGTTATCATTATCATTATTATCATGTACGTCAGTATTATCTTTATTATTATCTTTATTATCATAGTTATTATTATAACTATTATTATTATTGTCACTACTTAGAATAATAACGATAAAATCAGAATTTTTGAAAGGGGATGCGAACTTTTTTCGTACAAATAATTCAAATTTGATTGCAAAAAAATATCCTTTGATTAATTCTAGTTTTTCTTGTGCAATATTTTTATGTTTTTATTGCGCATGATAAGAAAAAAAAAAAATTGTTGATGCATACACAAATATTTACTAAGTACGTATTTTGGTTATTTAAAAACTGAAGANTCTTGTTGTTATCATAATTGTCATTAGTACCATCTTTGTTATTATTATCATTTGTTAAGTGACGACTAGCGTAAATTAATAAATTTTTTATTCTTATATCATTTAATGATGTTTTGATTAACATAATAAAATTTTAAGACTCTATAAAAAGTCATCCTTAACGACAGTTGTCGCCTTGCAAAGCTGATTGCGTAGTTCGAGGCTCTCAGAAGTGCCAACTGACAACTACAGAGAGCCGCTAAGCCTAAACACATGACATCAGAAAGTAATGGCTTGATAGCAAGTAAGACATAGATATTTGAACTAAAACTTCGTATAAGGTGCACTTTGTGGGCGGCGTTTTAGTTAGTAGCCTGCTGCCGCTCATCGAGTGCAGTAATTCACTAAACAGATAGCTTGCTTAACATTTTTGTTAAAATGGGACTGACTGTTTTTTTTTCCTCATTACTTTGTATGATCAGTTTGTATACGAACTCAATAAAAATAAAATACTTAACAACAAACCAAATAAACAGAAAGCAATTTAAATTATCGAAGTGATTCACTTGCAGTGGCTATAAATGAATAGAGAGAATAACTCCGGACGATGGATTGACACCAATGAAGTATAATACAAGCAAGAAAAATAGAAATAGGTTCTCAATATTTTATTGTTCTAATACACACACATACATATGAATGAATTAAAGGTTACATTACACTTAGTAAAGTAAACCACCGAATAATTAGACATACTGCTGGACCCATGGCAAGTCAGAGAGCATAAGACTCA